CAGAGCGGGCACTTGTCCGTCGGCTTGATGTTGATGAGTTCATGGAGGCCAAAACCCATCATGGACACGACCGCAATGGCAAAGGTCGTGTCGCTCAAGCGACGCAACTTGTCTCGACCCCGCATGGTCAAGACTGTGCTGACGCCCCACTCGCGTGAGGCCAGATATGCCTGCTGCAGGTCCAGCGCACACTTGGCCATCAGGTCGTCCAGTGCCGCCTTGGAGCGGAGGGCAATGATCTCAGCTGGTCGCTGGGTCGCCGCGTCCTTGACCGTGGCCATCTGGAAGCCAGCTCGCTGCACGTGGACCTCAAAGTCGGCAGCCCTCGATGCATCCTCCAAGAGTCGATCGTAAACTCGAGGGTAGCGAGTGGCCAGCTTGGCCATGTTGCAGACATAAGCCACCGGACCGCGCTCAACCAAGTCGTGCAGGCCAAAGCCCCCGGTGTTGGCCCGCGTGAAGAGGCGAGCCTCAAGGAGCTGTTCCAGCGTAACGTCATGACCTTCAGCTCCAGCCGGTGCAGACAGGTTTACCTTGGCAAAAAAGGCTTTGACAAAGGTGTCCTTGCAAGCACGGTTCAAGAGCTCGGACAAGCCCGACGTGAGACTTGGGGGCAGCGTGTAGAGGTGGTTGATGAGGCTAGGCACGTACTGCATGGCCGTGAGGAGGGCCTGAAGCGAGACACCGGTCGTCAGCATGTCATTGAGCTTGCCAGCAATGTGCTTTGCCTTGTTGTTCAGCTCACGTCTTATACGTGCATGGGTGGTGTGTGAAACCGGGGTATGCGTGTGAAGCCATGCACATGGATTTTCACACATCCACTGCCATCGCACGCACTCAGCATCACCCACTCTGAGTCTCGTCGCTTGAGCACTCCATCGTTGGCACAACTTCACTCACTGACGATCACACAGACACAGACACAGACATAGACATTGACACAGACACAGACACAGGCCCAGACTGAGGCGTGCCTTCCCACGATGGCATATCTCGCAATGCCTTTGCAGACTGTCTTGTATGTGTGCTTGTGACACAACCATTGTCGCTTCTTGTTGTGAGCGACCCTGCAGCTATTCTAACGGTGCACCTGATCTGGTCACTGCGATCGCAGCCAGTTCAATTGACCTCAAGACACCATCAAAGCCTTCGCTGTTCCCGCCGAAAGTCTCGCATCAAATCTGTGCTTCCACGCATTTGAGCACTGGCCTCCACACGCTGTGGAGCCAGACATGGTCTACCTACATAATAGAGCTTAATCACTGTAGTGTTAGCGTCAAATCCGTGCTTCCACGCATTTGAGCACTCCCACTGCTTTCGCACACACTCAGCATCGGTCGCTATGGGTCTTCCTATTGGTATCCCATAGCTGCGACGACCTCACACTGACACCTACACTTGGACCCCCTGGGCCTGATCCTCCTCGTGGGAGTCACATGAGTAAACACCGCGTGTGACGCGGTCCCCACGATGCCTGGGCAGCTGCCCTGGGGCAATAAGCTTGTGACTACTGTTGTTTCCCTTTGTTGTGGCACCTGCGGTCGGGCACGAGTTGCACTTTCCCTATCCTCGGGATTGAGCGACTCTACAGCTATTCTAACGGTGCACCTGGTCTGGTCACTGTGAATGCTTGCCGACCGCAGGTACGTCAAGCCCCCTGCCATTCTGTCTCCCCTTTGCTCTCCTGTGTGCTCTGCTCTCTTGTGACTTTCCCTATCCTCGGGATTGAGCGACTCTACAGCTATTCTAACGGTGCACCTGGTCTGGTCACTGTGAATGCTTGCCGACCGCAGCTGGTTCAATTGACCTCAAGACACCACCAAAGCTTTCGCTCCGTTCCGACGGACGTCTCTCAAACCTCTCTCAAAACGCTTCCTCAAACCTACGCGCTTCCTCGCAACCCAAAGACGGCCTCCAGACGTGCTGGAGCCTGACATGTAGCTGCTG